CCCTAAAATCACAAATTAAAAACACCCAATTATATATTAAGGTTACTATTTTATAGTTGAAACTACAAATCAACAGGCACTTATTGATTCAAGTCTCTCTGCATAAAACGCAACATTGCAAAAAAATAAGACAAGAAAACTAATAACCAACATTCATAAGAGAAAAAATAATAAATAAAGAAAGAGAGAAATAAAGGAAAAGCAATTTGCTTTGTTAGGGAATGATAAGACACAGCGAAGATAAGAGTGAAGTTCTGAACACTGAAGGGTGTTACAGGATTTTAAGAACGTGGCTCACTTAAAATGTTGCAATTATTTTACTGTAATAGTTATAATTATTTGGATTATACTAAATTATAAAGTAAAAACCTTCGGATGAAATAAATAGGAATAATACTCAATATAAAAGATTGTCTGCCTGCTTCTATTTAATGTTTTAAGTTATGTAATTTTATAAATATAATAAAAAATAAAAATTTTAAATGAAGTGATTAGTTAATTACTAAATTACCACGGTTAATTTTGTTAGCGATTAGAACCGATACCAAGCCAATTAAGTTAGTTTGCACTGCCACCATCCATACCAATTAAATTCATCAGGTGAGTTTTGATTGTTTTTTATTGGAGTAGATTGATTTGGTTAAGTTCAATTAAATTGATTCGGTTTGAACACTCCAAAGTTATCCTTCTTTTGTCATCTGTTTCACTTGATATATTATTTTTGTTTCTATTTTTGTCTTCTATTTAAATAAAAAAATAATAATTGAATTAGAGTGATTATTAGCATTATTGGAATGACTAATTAGTTGGTTGGATTACCGCCCCAAGAGAAAAAAAAAAAAAAAAAGATTGGTTAGTCGGATTTGATGATCGGCCTAGTTTATCATTTGGTTTTTCCAGGAGAGGAGAAATTAGAAGGGAATCAAGGTTGTTGGGTTTCGGCCTTTTAGGTTCTCCAATTAGGCTGGGCCTTACTTGGGCTGAGTCAATTGTTGTTCTCTGTCTGACTTGGTTCCGGACCAAATAGCAAACAGGCAAAACAAGGAATAGTAGGCAAAATAAATTGCAATATATGGCTATAATCTCAAGAAAAACTATAAATTTATAGTTTTAAGATGTTATTAAATATGTGAATATATAATATTATAAATAAATTATTAAATAAAAAATTAATTATATAATGATACATCATAATTATAATTTTATAATATTTTTTGATATTATAATTATATTATTTTTAATAAACAAACAACAAAGAGTAGACCAAAAGGAGAGAGAAAGAGAAAGATTAATAACTAATTTTTATTTTTTAAGAATATAATGGTATTTTTGTAATTAATTAATATTTAATTAATGAAATAATTGTAATTATACTACATGCTTACCATCGTGGGGTCTTGGACACATCGGCAACGTCTTTTCTAATTTTCTTGGTCAGACAAAGTTAACGGAGGCTAACATTGCACTGTACAACGTCAGCTTTTCCGTCCACATTTAGCATATTTGCGTAGATTTGTTAATTTAGGGAGGACTTTGTCACAGAATAAACTTTTGAGATGGATATGCCAGTAAAAATTACGTGCAGGGGCTCATTTGTTTATTATTCTACAAAACAATAGTAATGATGCAACATAATATTGCGGATTTACAATTATGAGGTGTTTTTTTTTTGTTCCCCATCCGGTATCCGACCAGTTGTAGTGCACCAGAATGGTGGGTAGATCTCCCAACGAAGACTGCTGCATACATAAAATCTCGAACTCGAGATCTTGCTTAAGCTGGAACAAGCCGTTTGCCACTTGATCCAACCCTTCGTTGATACAATTATGAGGTGTTTTTAACTTAGAGAATGTATTTAGTATTATAAGTAAATTATTAAATAAAAAAAATTTAATTATATAATGATATTTTATAATTATAAATTTATAATATTAAATGATATTATAGTTATATCATGGCTATTAATTTTGCAACTGACCTTTTAGGCCTATTAGTAACTGTGTATTTATTAAAAAAAAAATGGATTTTTTAACTTGTATTATTAAGGTACAGATTAAGTTTTTTTTTAATTATAAATGTATATAAAAAGATTTAAAAGTTGATATTAATTTTAATATCAGATGAATTTAATTAAATAATTGATAAATTAAAGATTGACTTTTAATTTTTCAATATAAATTTATTATGAAAATGTGTATTTAATACATTCTTAAGAGTATAAGTTAGATAAATCCAAAAAATAAATCTAAATTTTTTTTATAAGAACAACATTGAATAGATTAAAGGAAACAAAAGAGACCAACCATTAATGTTACCATCAAAAGAGTGAGGATACGGTCTTAGTTATATAATTTAAAATTTAAGAGGTTAATTTAAAAATTCAAATGTTTTGTTAATTGTTAAAATTTTAAAATAATTAATATCTAAAAATCAATGTAATACTTACATCAATTTATAAATTCATCTTAACTTTTGTCAAAAATAAGACAAAGTTATTTTCAAATAGCAAGTAAGTTATCTACGGCTTTAACCTTTTTTTCTTTCCCTCCAAATTGACTCTGCTTAAACTTCACTAACTAATATAACACTACTCTTTTTTAGCATTCCATTTTTATCCACATTTTTTTATTCAAAGCAGCATAAGTTGCATCTCTACTTTTACTTGCAGGCCTCCAACATTTTAATATTCGGAAAAAATAATCTGTTCGAGGAGTTGGCCACAAACATTTATATTTGTTAAAAAAACCTGAATTTGTTTTTTAGAAAAAAAAATGTAAAGATTAAGAAACAACCAAGAGTAACTCTTTTCATTTTATTCTATCTGCCTCCCTCTTTTTTACTTTTTATTCCAATTTCCCTCCTTTTCTTTTTCTCTCTCTCGCTTCCTTTTGTTCAGAACAGAACCAAGGCAACAAGCAAAGAACAGCCACAACATAAAGTCTCTATAAGACCATAAAATTTCCGAATCTGATTCATATTTCATCCCTTTAGCATTAATATTGATTATATTTATAGAAAAACTATGCTGTGTTCAACATAAGTAAATAACAAGTACATTAATAAAGGCAATCCTCCAATATTGTATTCAGCAAGAAGTAATGGCAGAATTAACTTTCTGCAACATAAATAGTCTCCATAGCAACAGATTTTAGATTTACTCTTCCAGCCTTAATTAGTACTTTAAATTATTTCCGTTAATTCCTTCTTCCCCTTTTTTCTTTACCCTTTTTTTTTTTTTTTTTCTCTTTCTCGCTTTTCTTCCTTTGATTTTAGAACTGGTATATATATCCTCAGATTCAATATATTTTTAAATACTTATTAATAAATTATTTATTATTTTTAAATTTAAATTAAAAATAAAAAAACTGAAATTATAAATTTTAATTACTAAATTAATGAGTGTTAGTAAGCATATTAAACTAAAGGGTATATCGATTATTTTGTTTTGATTTTGTCTTCTTTGTTCTTTTACTTCTTTTTTTTTTTTCTCTCATTTTTGTCTTTTCCTTTTATTATTCCAAGTTCCAACATCCTAAATTCTAGTTAAATAGACTAGACTCATTTATCTTCATTAGCACACGGCAAAAATTAACATGCATAAAGAAGCCATAGCATAAGTCTGAAGCAAGATACCAAGCAAAGAAAAGCCATAAATTAAGTATGAAGTAACCTATGGATACGATTTCTGAATCTGATGCACACTTGAAGCAACCCCAAATCGACAAGCAATGCTGGAATAAAGATTAAAGAGTTTGCGTGTAGGATCAATGTTACTGGAAAAATAAACAAAGTTGTTTTCTTTCAGCAAAGAAGTTATCAACAGCTTTAACTTTTCTCCAATTTTTTCTACCCAAAAAATTGATAATAGCTTGAACTTCACTAATATAATGCTACTTTTCTTCAGCATGTGTTCCATTATACTTTGCTTCTCGACTTACCTTCGTACCTTCTGGGATGCACTCCTAGCTAAGATGTCTTCCCTTTTGTCATTAATATATTCGCATGTTTTTCTGATGAGTTTAAAAAAAATTTTTGCTACTCGACTTTTACTTGTAGTCTCTAGTATTTTAGTAGTATTTTAAGGATATGTGGCAACCAAAATATGTTTGTCCTCTTCGAAAAAAGGACCACTTGAATTTGTCTTTTTTTTTTAGAATATATTTTTTGAAAAGATTAAGAAACAAAAG